TGCCCAGGGGAAAGGGCGTTATTTCTCATGTTCTCTTTACGGAGGGGGAGCCCGGGCTCACTGTGCTGGTTTAACTGCAGTCCCGGCTTCCTGGTTCCTTTGACTTCGCTATTTCAGTCTTTAACTGAAATATGCTAGTACAGTCCTAACCCAGGTTCTAAATAAGAAGAAATACCCTTTTTTTTTTTTAAGTTGAATTTTCACCAATGTGAATCATCCTGTTTTCCTCACCCACTGGACTTTGTCTCTTGGAAGCAGGTGAACGTCCGTGGCGGCCCAGGGAGGGGAGACCTCTGACTGTGGCCAGCCCCTTCTCCTGCCTGCACAGAATGCCCGAGAATGCTGTTCTCCTCTCTTTTAGCCAGAACAGTGATACGTGTTCCCGATTTAGAAACTCCGGAGAGTGTAAAAGGGTTTGCTCCCTCCCACGCCCCACCTTACTCTTCCAGTGCCATTCCTAGAGGCAAACTCAGTAACACTAGTTTCTTGTGTCTCCTTCCAGAAGTGCTCCCTCACCTGTAAAGGTTGGCCCTTCTCTGCACACACCCAGGAAGAGCACTCTGAGCTCCGTCCCACACTCACTAACAGTACAGCAGAGATTTGTCCGTATCAGTATGTGCTGCACGACCGCAGTCCTTCCGCCAGTGAGTGGATAGCCGCTTGGCAGTCCCCTGCCCGCCCGTCCATCGCGTAACTTGTGTCCTGATGATGGCCGTGCAGGTCATTTTTAGTCCTTTACCATTCACAGCAAGGTTTCCCCGCACGTCCTTATACACGTGTCTTGGTACACACATGTAGGTATGTCTAGGGGAGAAAGTACTGGGAGTGGAGTTATTTTACTCCCAAGACTCCTCGTACGGAATATTTTGCAGACTGTCTTAGTCACTCACTTGCCTGCCTGGCACCTTTTAGGGGGAAGTTCTGTCCTAGATCCTGCTTCCTAGGTAGGACAGTGTTTGTTCTCAGCCTGTGGCTTTAAGGAAAATAAAACTCCCCATCACCACTGTCTTTTCAATGTTCTGTGTTTGGGAAGCATATTGAGTTGTCTGCGCTCTAGCTTTTCTTTTCCAGGTTGGAAAATCTGAGCATATTGTCCTCTAGATTCTGTTTATAGATTTATAGTCACAGTTATTCCTTGCAATAAGCGTGTCTCTAACTTCTCCACAAATGGGCAGAGGATCTCAGCTGCATTATCGTGACGAGTTTGACACACATCGGAGCAGGGCTTGGTTGGGTGGGAACAGGACCTTCTGCAGAGCAGGTCTGTGTCAAGGCTCTGGCCCCTCAGCTGAACTGGACAGTGGGCTGTGGAGCCCTCCCAGCAACCTCACTCAAGGGTGATGTTCAAAGTACCTGACAACCAGAAAGGGGTGGGGGCAGGGGGGCGGGACTCAGTCAGTGTCCCCAGGTTCTAGCCCAAGTGCTCAAACAGCATGGTGCTGGAGGTCTCTGCCTGGGAGGAGAGGCCAGGGTGGGTGGCGGCACCCTGGAGGTCCAAGGCCAAACCAGTCGTCTAACCAGTGTGGGTATATTTCGGTTTTTAACAACCGGTGTGTCACAGGGGCATGCCCGCTGGATACCCGCCCTGGCCCTCAGGGAGGCCTTGAGACCGGTGATGAGGTTTAAGAAAAAGCCCGTTGGTCCACCGAGGGAGACCCAGTTTGAGTCATACCTGGGTCTATTATTAGCTATAGAACCTCCAACGACACCTAACACTTTTCTCGTCTCCAAAGAAAAGAGCTTGCACCGCATGATACCTAATGCCGCTTCTTGCTCTAAAAGTGGAGGAAATGAAACAAAACACTCAAGGGGGTGAGAGCCGAACCTGAACATTTTCCCCTGGCATTTTATGTTTATGCCATAAATGGTGCCTTTTTCCTAACTTCCTCATTCTGTAAAAGTTGAAGAAATGAACTTGGGGGAAGGACCGGAAAGACTATTATTTGGCTTAGATAGCACGGGCACATTATGGAATTGTGGAACAGGTCGGGCCAAAGAGACGTTCAGATCCTGACTTGGCCGCAGCAACGCTCGTTTGTGAGTTTATTCATTCCCGCACTCACTGAATCTTTCTGGAGCCTCTCTCAAGGTCAGGCACTGTTCTGGGCTTAGGGAATGGACAATAAATGGAGTAATGTCCATGCTCTCTTGGAGAGGACATTCTGGAGGAAATTGGGCAAGCCAGTTTACCTCTTTGGACCTTAGGTTTCCTGCCTGTGAATTCTTTTTTTTTTTCTTTTTTTAGATTTTGTTTAAGAGAGAGGAGAAGGGAGGGAGAAAAAGAGAGAGAAACATCAATGTGAGAGAGAAGTATCTGTTGGTTGCCTTTTGCACACGCCCCAACCAGGACTGAACCCGCAACCCAGGCCTGTGCCCTGACTGGGAACTGAACCAGGGGGCTTTTTCTCTGCAGGATGATGCCCAGCCAGCAGAACCACACCAGTCAAGGGCCTGCTTGTGACTTCTTTCCTGGTGACTGACACTGGTTGTTATTCCCCATTCTAGTGCCTAGGAGAGCCATTGCCACCAAATTACAGCACTCCAGGACACCACAGTCAGTTACTAGAAAATAAGCCTCTATGTTTTCCCAGGCTAGATGAATTCTGAAGTCCTTTCCTGCTACAAAATTTCATTTTCATTAATTATTTCTAATTAACTGTAAAAGCCATAGTACTGAGGGACAATTGCAATAGAACTCCCAAACATAGAACTCTTGAAGCTACAGATTTTACAGGAAAACCGCCATCACTTTGGTTTTGTCCGTGACGGAAGGGTCTGCATTCTTGTAAAATGATTTTAGACATTTGGGTTTTCCCTCCACTGTCCTTTGCTGCAAGTTCTCCTGCTCAGCCTGCTTTACTTTGATCCCCAAAGAAGGGAGAGGCTCACCAGCATTCGCTTTTCTTTCCTTTCCCTTTGGAAATCTCCTTTGTGAAGAACTCCTCCCTTTACAGGAGTCAGGTCGGGGAGCATCAGATCCCGCTCGTTTTGATAACTGCTTCTAATACACACGGGATAACTCAACAGCACTCATTGACGGCGGGCCTCCCGGGAAGGCTGGGGACTGCCGGGCCGTCTTGTCCAGCCTGCTCCACTCAGCACTGCGGAGGCCAAACCGGGGCTCATCTCAGCCTCTCGGTGATTTTGTTTTCCTTCCAGATTCCAAAGACACAATTCTGTACCATCATGTGCAACCCTCCGTCCTCACCCCCATCACAGGCCAGCAAGTCCAATGTACCCCAACTGGGCTCAAGTTATAAAGAAAAAAGTTTGAAGTGTTTCTGTTGGAAGGGATAACTCTGCCCTTTTGGGTTTCCAATGCATCTCTACGTAACAAAACAGGTAGATTTGTGGGCACTGGGGAAAATTTGGCTTACTTAATTCTATTAACTGTACACACAAAAGTCAGATTATGAAAACTTTGTTCCTCTGATTTCTAAGTGATAATGAACCAGAGGTACCTTTCTCTATAATAAAACATTTTTTTCTCATAGAGAAACTAGAGCTGGGGCCTTCAGCACCCCAGGCTGAGCCTCCCATAATTTATACCGTTATTGGCACTTGGTAACCTGCATAGAAACCAACCCTTCCGTCTCCAAGGAGCCCAGGGAAATAGATTGTTTCTACCGTTTAATCATGGACATTTAAACCAAGGAGCATGTAAGAAACTTTTTAAAGATTATATGTTTTTATTTTTAGAGAGAGGGGAAAGGGAGTGAGAAAGACAGGGAGAGAAACATCAGTGTGTGGTTGCCTCTCATGTGACTCCTAGGGAACCTGGCCCACAACCCTGGCATGTGCCCTGACTGGGAATCAAACAGGTGATCCTTTGGTTCACGGGCTGGCACTCAATCCACTGTGCCACACAAGCCAGGGCAACCAAGGAGCATTTTAAAGAAAGAGAAAAGTGATTTTTATTACTAGGTTGAGTTCAGTGAATTTCTTTCTCTTTGAGGGGAGGGAGACATTGGAAATAAGAAACGGACATTAACCTTGTTTAACGCAATAGGTAATTAAACATAGATGAAATAACTGTTCTCCCTTTAAAATTTGTTATGGACACCCTCTTTCCTGGAGCCACAGACTTCTCCCACATTTGCAAAGTAAAGTGGGAGGCACTCTCTCCAGTTTTAAGGAGTATGGTTGGTAATATTTGCATATACTAAATATGGTGTTGAGTATATTAGGAAAGTCTACACAGAAGAAGAAAAAACCCTGCAATTTTAAGAGCATGGATTCTGAAGCCAAATTGCATGAGTTTGAATCCCAGCTCTTCCTCTTTATTATACAACCTCCTCTAAAACTCAGTTTTTTCCATCTATGAAGTGGGGATAATAATAGACCCCCATCTCCTAGATTGTGCTCCTAGAAATTAAATGAGATTTTTTTCCTGAAATGTGATTAGCATACCGCCTGGGCACAGTCTAAATATTAAGTAAATATGAGTTCTTATTTTGGAAGCTGCCCTTCCATGTCTTCATCTGTAAGCCGGGGATAATAGTGAGGATGAGATGAATTGTGTACGTTTTTACATTCAGTCACCACTTTGCAGCAGTGTGGACCATGGTGCGTGCTACTTCAGGGTTCGCTTACCCTCGTGACACAAGTTCAAAATGCTTTTCTTAACGTTGGAAGGCAGCGTGGGAAATGGTTGGACACCAAGGAGGGGAGCTTGACCGGTGCCCACGGGCTCTACCACTTATTAGCTGGGTGACCTTAGGCGAGTTGCTTTCCCTCTCTACGTCTCACAATTCTCTGTAGGATGGGACGAATGACAGAATCTGCCTTATGGAGATGCTATGAAAGCGAATGGGGATGGCTCTGGAAAGGGCTCAGCCGGGGTGCCGGGCGGATGCATGCATTCTGTGTTTGGTAAGATCTGCAGACCGAGTCCTTTCAGTGTTGGAAGGGACCTAGGCAGAGGGTTCCGGGAGGAATGCGATTTGGGAAGCAGTGCTTTTCTGGAGATCATTGAAAGGCCAGTGTCTTGTCGTTTGCAGACGCGGTCACCCTCCTGGGCTTTCTCTATGCCTCCAGTGGAGAGAACACAGGCATTGTGAAGACGCTGCCGAGGTTTCGGAACCGGGAGCTGGAGGCCACCCGACGCCAGCGGATAGACTACCCTATGTAAGAATGGGCAGATGGTGGGGCGGGTGGGGGCATGCTGTGGGGTTTTTTTCTTTTTTAATCTGAGGATCAGAGCGGGCTGGTGGATTCCTTTAACAGGACAAACCTTTTGTCACTGGTTTTGAAAAAAACATTGAGACCTACGTGGCTTAGGCAGAACTTGTGGACCCAAACACCTCACAGCATTCTTGAATTATTCTTGCACTTAGCAATCCTCAACTTGCCTTGGACTTTCCTCGTCAGGCCCCAGGAAAGACAGGAGGCGGGGGCAAGGCCTTGGAGCCTGAGGCCCTGGCAGGGCTGCAAGTGCAGCCAGCCACAGCAAGCCCAGGCTGCAGACTTTGTCCTGCCGTTTCTGCCTTGGAAGACTGGGTGAGCTGCTGGAAGCTCACCACTTCTGATCTTTGTCGATTTCAGCAAAACCCAGATATATATATATTTTTTCCCTTTCTGCCGAATTAAAGATGCTAAAAACGGTTCCTGGTGCACCTCAGACTGGGTGGATTTAACGGAGTGATTTAATTCTTCCCATGCTGCTGGCTGTAGAAAGATCTTGAGTCATTTTACTGAGCGTATGTTCTTGCTAAGCTTCCTTGTAATAACTTATCTTCATGAGCTTGCTCAGCTGGGTGGGTCAGGAGGGAGCTGTGTGACACCATCTGTCTGTGTATCTTACCACTGGTCTGGAGGCCACATTACAAAGCCCAGAATATTCTAAAGAACTTATTTGGTTAAAACCCCAGAGAACCTGAGGTCACTGGCCCCATAACCCCAAACTGTGAATTGGTTACTGGGGTGATAGAAAGCCCTCTGTGCGTTTGTTTTGACCTTGATTGTTCTCTCACGTGCACGATGCTGTTATGCCCAGAGCCTCGTCTCTGAGCTGCTGGTCACTCACCCAACCAAGCAAGGGCTCAGCAAGTGTTTGCTGAGTGATTGGTGGATCTTATATCTTGGCTAAATCTGTCCTAGTTAAGTTGATGACTGTGACTTTATTCCCCCTCCACAAATCACAGATACACAAAAGCTTTTTTCCAACTAAAATAGCCCCAGTCCAGAAATGGAACAATTAGATTAGTTGTTCCATATCGGTCAGCCAGAACTGTGATATGCAACCTAATATGTGCCTTAAAATAGTATATATGTGTCCCAGTTAGTGTACAGTGAAGCCATTTGCAGATTATGACATCTTTTCTACCTTATGCTTTTATCTTTGAAAGAAACAAAATTGCTCAAAAAGCCCTAATTATGTTTTTCCTTTTAATCACCGAAATTAGAATAGCTTCTTATCAAATCACCTCTTATTAAACTCCAGCTTTTCATTCTGTGCCTGGCTTTGTAAGGTATTTGAACGGCAGGCACACGAGATTCTCACAGGGCACAGAAACAGACTTTTAGGTGCAAGCTGGAGTGTCTGCTAGTTTTGTACAATGGTGCTTAGCTCCTGTCTGTTCCAGTTACTATAACTACCTTTGTCTCAAAGATCAAGCTGTGCGAGCTGATCTCCCATGATGAACACGAAGCCATGCTCATCCCTTCATTGGGAAGAAAGCAATTTACTTGGTCATTGTGAAGTATAATTACCTGTTCTTGGATGATATCAATCTGCAGAATTTTTTTCCCCTCACTCTTCTAGGTTCACTGTTTCACTGTGGCTTTATTTACTCCATTATTGCAAGGCCAGTCTCTGTGGGATTCTGTACTTCGTGGATGCTGATGAGATGTACGGCACGCCGTCTGTATTTCTTACCGAAGAGGGTACGTGTAACACAGAATCTCAAACGATACATCGTTGCTTTCGTACGCTCTGTCTGTCTAGAATAAGGAAGATACTGTCAACGGGGCAGTTTAGCGAGAGCGATGGTTTTCAAATGTGGGCTTCAGGTTAAACTTTCTCCAGGAAGCTTAAACTAACTGTCTTCTTTACAAAGGAGTGCATGGATGTGATTTTTTTTTTTTTTTGCTTTGCTTTGTTTTGTTTAAAGAAGAAGGAACGTAGTCTTAGTCTGATAGCTCCTTAGGACAATGGTTGCAAAGGAGTAGCTATTTCTTTCACTCCTGGGTACTATTTGTCATTTTCATAAGGTTTGATTTTCATTTTAGGCCTCTTGCATATTCAGATGCATCTTGTCAGAGGAGAAGACCTTGCTGTGAAAACGAAATTCACCCTGCCTTTGAAGGAGTGGTTTCGCCTGGATATCTCGTTCAATGGAGGCCAGGTATCTATGGGCCGCCCCCCCATCAACCACGCCAGCGCTGCCACTTAAAGTTTGCACCGCTGAAAAGCCAGGGAGCAAGCAAATCTCTAAAAACAAATTTGTGGTAAATGATGAACTCTTTACAGCTATACACTTTTCCAATCAAACTTTTATAGATGGAAGTTTAAATCATAAGAATCCCATTCCATTTAATTGGCTTTTATAGTGCTTCTTTTGACCATATTGTGAGTGAGTAAATAAAATAGCCAGCTATATAGCTCCAGTTATCTGAAGAACTCAGTGCTTTTCCCCTGGTGAGATAGACTTTGCGGAGATATATGGTAAAACAACATCAGCCAGGTTTCTATAGTGCTATTGAGCTACAACTTTTATTTTTTCGGGAAATTTATTAGTTGAGTCGAGAATTGGTTTGACTGTGTTTGGCAGTTGAAACAATTGCTTCTGCTTGGCATAAACTGGCAAATAATAATTAACAAACCTAAGTGCCGATTCTGGTGGGACGGAGGGTCTTTATCTACTTGGAACTATAAAACACTCTGTGTAACTGTTTCCAACTGTCATAATGCAGATTGTATGGATTATGGCAAATCTGTTGTTACAATGAAAGGCAATTCCATCTTTCAATCTGCGCAATGTCAGTGTGCTACTTTTCTTCTGGTGACTTCATTTTCCCATCAGCTTTGCTTATTGATTTGTGACATGCCGGCCACAAAACTGGAAGAGGCGTCTTGTTTGTCCTGTGTTTTATTGGATAATCTGCAGACTTCCCTTGGTGGCCAGGTTTATCACATTTCCTTTTTCTGAAGAGAAAGGAACTCGGGTCAGTCCTTGTTGCTTTCCCGAGAAGAGTCTGTAGCCAGGATCCTTGGTACATTAGTTTGTTTCTTCAACGACGTGAGATGACGTGTCTGTGGTCCCGGTTTTAGCTTCTTATTTATGTGACAATTACAGTGGCAATCTAGTGTGGTTGCTGCTCTTCTCCTACGAAGGTCAGCTTCCCTGTGTCACTTAAGACAGCTGTGAGGTCATCAGAGCAAATCCCAGGTCATATTTTGCTCCTACTGTATGTAAGGCACTGTGCTCAAGGAGCGTATAGACTATTTAGGGAATTACCATCAAGCAGGTGAAGGGACGTCCTAAGGTGAGCTTCACTGCCAAACAGTTCATAAGGATCAGAGAAGAGAGACAGCGCTTCATACTGGGACGCTGGAGGGGCAGGACCCACAGAGGATGATTCTGCCAGTGGGCAGCACTGGGGTGGAGAGGGGCGTGGGGAGCAGCTCACACAGCACTGGGGGGGAGAGTAAACCAGTCTGACCAGAGGAGAAATGTGCAGACCGCAGGACACTAATCAAAGGAAAAACTGTCTTCAGGGCTGGAATGTGGAAAATCTTGAATATCTTGGAATTTAGATTTCTACTTGCAAAACAGCAGGGCCTCCTGGAAGCTTTCGGAGCAGAAGAATTGTAAATCAAAGTAGTTCTTTAATTAAAGAGAGGAATTCAATGGCAGAGCACATGATCTGATCAAGCAGGAGAGAAGAATTACGCAGGCCAGATGGGATGGAAAGAAAAAGGATTTTTTTTTCCATTCCATCTGGTCTGCCTAAAAAATATAGGTCCCGGAACAATACCTAATTGTTTTTCTACACGAAATCCACCTCTGAGATGGGACTACCACATTCATTGCTTTGACTAAATGGACAGATTGGCGTGAAGTGAATGGTTGGTTTAGAGAAACACCTGGTTTGAGCCATTTTCTTCCTCCAGTATGTGGCTGAACTGGGTTGGATTCTCTGGGTTAGTTTGCCTTTCACGGACACAGCAGTGTAGACGCGTCTTGGAGAATCTGGCTACTGAGCAGGTGCTCGGTCAGCCCTGGCCCTGGGCTGGGAGTGGGAGAACGACAGGAGCCCCTTAACGCCAGGAGTTTGTGTCCTAATCCAAGACACTGAGAAGAATGTGGGACAACTGATGACAGCTGATAACATCCAGGACAGAAACATCGTCACCATGGAAAGGACGGTGACGCTGCTTCTCAGTGGTCAGGGAAAGAATAGTGGGAACCAGCGGTGCGTGGAGGAAGTTGGGTGCCAATCCCGTTTTGCCCACTAAGGCTTTCGTAGAATTCCAGTGAAATTTCAGAAACTCCTTGTGTCTTACACATTCCCTTGTCTTTCTGTGCAACAAGCTCGGAAGCACAGAATGAATCTACCAAATGAAACTTTGGCTTGTAGTTTGGAAATATCTGACACCTACTGGGTGAAACTGCTTTATAGGTCTTTTTACCACAACTCATTGGGAGAAATTGTATTTATTCAATCGTACAGGGTTAGTGAAGTGTTACATTTCTTTTTGCTGGGACTGATCAAACGTTTTGGGTAACTTACGCCCAGATCTGTTTCCATGAGGTGGGGTGCGGAGAATAAGTGATGCTTGTCTCTCTCTCCCACCGTAGATAGTGGTGGCGGCCAGCACCGGGCAGGGTTTGGAAAGCCAGCACAATCAGACCATTAGGTGAGTGCAATCCTTCTTCCAATTGAAAATGTTGCTGCTTGAGGGTTAAGGAATCTTCATGCCTTGGCCCTCAAGCCTAAGGTTATTCCCTGCACCTCCTTATTCAGCTTTTCTGAGCATGTGCGAGTCTGCCCTGTGGCTGTGGTCTTTGTCCTTTGTTTCCTCCTTTTTTACTGTCTACAAACTCACCTGTTTCCCCCCGCAACCTGTTTTCTAAGCAAGAGAAAATACTCCTCTTTCCAGATCTCATTGTAAATTCTTCCTTTCATGGCACTTTGTATAATTCATTTTCTTTGCAAATTATCTTCTACAAAGGATTCTCAAAAAATAAATCAAAATATTAATGTTGCTTATTGAGAATGGTTGGTAATGTTGGCCTAGTATAAAACATAAAAGCAGACAGTCTTCATATTTATGTTCATAATCTAAATTTGAAATGTAAGCAACTATTGATATTGGTGTAACTTTTCATCTTTATAGAACTGTTCCTAGAAGAGGTACAGAAACTGAGAATTGGGTCCCTTGCCTTGTATGTCATGATTTTTTTTTTGAATATGCTTCTTTATCCCTGTATAGCAGTGGGAGTAGCGGAACCAGAGGGCCAGCTTTTTTAGGAATTCAAGATACCTCATCATGGCTTGGTAATAAATGAATGTATAATGAAATGCTTAAGGACAGTCTGAAGAACAGAAAATAATGAGTAGTTTCATATGTATACTTTTCTTAAATGTGCCAGGAATGTTGGCGCTTGGGCGGGGCAGGGCTGGGGGGTCATTCCACCTTCCTGTGGTCATTTGACCCCACCAGGCACAGGGCCGCCTTTCCAAACAGGCTCCATTCACTCACAGCCCCCTCACACCCCACATGTCTTTGAAGACCAGTCATTACAGAAGGGAAAGCAAATGGGAGGAGACAGGGGAATATAAGGGCATCCAGTCTGCTTCCCTCACCTCCTCACTGCCTGCCATTTCTGTTTATGTTGAAGCCAAGCTGGTTCTTTTTAGGCCCATGTAGAACAATTCGTATTTTTATGGCTGGATTAAAGGATTAGAGTTATACAGAAAGGCTAAAGAAGTGGCCTTCCTTAGCTTTCAAAGAAAAGGTCAGTGATAACTGGATAGTTATATTGTAGCGTGGACGCCGAGGCCTGAGACCAGAGGACCGCCTTCAGGTGCACCAAGGGGATGCGCACCCTCCAAAAAAAGTGGGCGGGCCTGAGTGCTGCTGCGTGGCAGGGCGCCGTGGGCTCTCCTCTCAGGAGTTTGCTTTGGGCGAACGGAAGACGGTGGCTCCTTGGAAACCTCTTGACTGCCCTGTTTCACTAAGGAGGCAGCAGAAATTAGGGGTTTGTGTTTCAGGACATGAAGTCTGAAATGATACCTCCCCTGTCTCCCTTGACACCCATCTCCAGCCCCAGGACATTGATGACAACCAATTGGATTTCATAGGCCCTTTTTCATCTTTCTATGTGAGAGCTTCCTTTTCTCCTAAATCCTAGAAATCCAGAGGCTGGCGTGGTGGGTCGTAGATGTCTCCATCCTGGATCACAGTATGATCCAGGGCTGGGATCAGGGTCAGGTGAGAGCGGCAGAAATTACGAAAACCTTGCAGTGCGTCAGTTTGCTGGGGCTGCCTGAACAAAGTACCACAAACCGAGTGGCCTCAACCCCAGAAACTTACAGTCTCGCAGTTCTGGAGACTGCAAGTCCAAGGTCAAGGCATCAGTAGCACCATGTTCCCTCTGAAGGCCCCAGAGGAGGGTCTGATCCCGGCGCCTTTCCCAGCTCCTGGATTTTCTTTGACTTGTGGCTGCATAACCCAGTCTTCACGTGGCGTTCTCCCCATGTGCATGTCTGTCTTTGTCCAAATGTGCTCTGATTATAAGGACACCAGTCATACGGGATTCAAGACCCCCCATTATGGCCTCTTCTTAAGTAACTACCCTTCTGCAGTGGCCCCATTTCCTAAGCAGGTCACGTGACGAGGTCCTGGGAGCCCAGACTTCAACATACAAATTTTCAAGGGGTGCACCATTCAACTCATGACAGTATTCATGATAAATAACATTTTCTACAGTTATTTTTTATAATCAAAATCAATGTAAAGAATCATGATGAACAAAATGTCACTGTGTTAGGAGAAGACAAAATCAGTATGGTCACAGAAGATTACAGACATGTGGGCCAACTGCCAGGGACATAGCAGTTCAAGATCCCAGTTAAAGCGCTGAAGCGGCTCCTCACCTGGGGACCGACCCTGGCAGTGCCCAGACCCGAGGGTGCCGTCACCGCCAACTCAGTGGCCCGGCCCCAATCCCTGGACCCGCCCCCGTCAGCAGAGCACCTGAAGAGGTGACACCGGGCCCACAGGGTCCCCTGTGATTGGATGTTTGGAATCCCACTTTCAGAGTGGGCCAAGCCAGTGAACCGAATATCCCCGATGTTTATAGGGGTTCCAAGGAAAGCCTTTGGACCTCCTTTCTACTTGTTCTCAAAATGCACACACAGTGGGATGGCTCTCGCACAGCGTTGGTAGAGGGTGACCCACCACTCAGGGCTCGAAAGTGCAGCATTGCTCTCAAATGAGAGGCTGCCAGTAACATTTGGTGGCAGGCAGCAACTGCGGACCTGTGGAGTGTTGAATTCATCCATCCATCAGTCTGTCCATCCATCCCTCCATCCAGTGTGTATTCATGCATCCAGCGCCCGTACCACATGCCAGGCACAGTGCTGGACTCTTGGATTAAATACAGTCAGCCCCTACTAAAAAGCCTAGCAGGGGTGATTGATCTTCAACAAGGACATTCACAAATAAATGTAAAATTACAAGTTGCGGTAAGTGCTGGAAAGAAAAGGAATTAAGGCAGCCTGAGGAGATGACGAGGGGGCCAGCACTGAGAGCAGGTCCTGGAGCAATGACACTCAAGATACTAATTAGTCTACGTGAAGGGGACAACTCTTCCCTGATTCTGAGTGAGGTCCGCTGGACCACGTCACTCACGGTCCATTCTTCTGGCTGCTGGTCCTCGGCAGTCGTAAACCAGGGCAGGCTCTGATGTCCAGATGAGAGTCAGTGTGCCAGCGTGTCAGACGTTTCTGAAAGGGACCATCCTGGGCTTTGGAAGAGTCTAGCTCAGCTTTTATGTCAGTGAAATGGATGACCGCTGGGAAGTGCACAGTACAAGCAATCTTCGTGCAGCCACAAGGACTTTAGCGCAGAGAAATGCTGGAGACCACGCTGGGGAAATCTATTTGGTTATATCATGATAGTGATAAAAAAACTAAAACTACAATCCAGTGCAATGGAGACCAAGTAATTTATTGGTCAGTTAAAACCTCAGTTAAAGGAAGGATCATTTAAAGATGATACCTTAAATATTTTATTTTAATCAGAAAGGTGAAACGCACATTCATTTGCCATTCTTTCTATGTAGAGCCTTGATTGGCATTCTCTCTGATCCTGGGTAAACGGCACACAATCTCCATTTCTCCCAGTGAAAAGGAAAGGAGGCCACTTGTGAAACTATCAGAGCCCAAAATCCATCTAGATGTCTTCAGTTTCTTTTTCCAAACAGTTGTCCTAATTCCACAATCCTTTTTTTAGTAACCATTATTTTACTGAGTCTACCCAAAGTAGTCAACTCAATTTTTGCAGAATGAATGACTTCCGCCACACCCATATTTTATTGGGTAACATAGTATGTCATTAGCTGGTACGGTTAAATGACCATACAGTTGGCATTAACAGGTTTGGAAACAGACACATCTTATTCATATGAAGCATGTAACTCAAGAGATGAGAGCAAAAGTTCAACATACATTGATATTTCTCTCCTTCCCTTCACCGCTAAAGATAAATAAATAAAATCTTTAAAAAAACTTGTTTTAAAAAAAAGTTTAACACTGAACTAAGTAATAATAACTGTGAAGTTCTGGAGCCTACTATGTGCCAGGAATTGTTCTAAATGCATTGTTTAGATACTAGTTCATTTAATCCTCACAACAGCCTGTAGCTAGGTACTGGGATTATCTCCTCGGATAAAATGAGCAGACTAAGGCTGCGGTCAGCTAGCACCAGGCAGGGTGAGGGATAGACCATCGGGGGAGCTGGCGGGCTGGGTAAGCGGAGTTCCATTAAGAGGCCCTTCACTGCAGAAGCAGCTTCACACCCACTAAGTGCCAGGTGTTGTCTCAGGAGGGTGGTTTAGGTCTTTCCAAGGCCTTGAAAAACAGAATCAATTCACAGGTCTGATAATAACTTCGAGGTCCCACCTGAAAAGGGGGTGTGGGGGGAGACCATCGTCTTTCCTCCTGTCCTTTCAATTCTGCAAAGAGAACTATCAGGAGAGAAAGCCTCTGTTCCGTGTGAGTTGCTTGTCTAAAGCGTGTTGCTAAGGGTTCCCTCTGGCTGCCGTCAGCGCTATCCACACGTGCCCTCTCCTCACTCTCCTGTCTTCCTCTCTAGCCAGGTGTACTTGCTGCGGGGCAGGTTCCTTGCTAGCAGTCAGTCCATCACCTCTCCTGGGATGCCTGCAGGTTGCTTGGCTGTTTTGATCCGACCGCTGGTAGCCTGCTCTGTCCTCACAGGCATCACGCCGGCCCCTCACCCCCATGGCTCGCTGGGCTCCTGGCCGCCTGCCTGACAGTTTGCGCTCTTTCTTTCCACTTCTGTCTGCCCTCTGCGTCCCCGGCTCTTCGCTCTTTGCCTGGCTTCTCACCTGATGCCTGTCTCGGCCCCTCCCCCTTGCCGTTCACATAGGAACATGTGATCTCACGTGCTGATCGCACCTTCCTATTTGAATTTTTAAATGGTTTAAAAAATCAAAATTATGCGAAAAGGTGTACAGGTAGATGTCTTGCTTCTAACCCTGCCCCTGTCAATTCCATCCCCTAACCCCCTTACCCTGTGCCATCGGGAAATACTGATTTGTTTCTTGTATGTACTTCACAGTTTTTATGCAGACATCACATGTATACACAAACATACACACATCCATTCTCCTCTTCCCTAGATAAAAAAAAACATACGCTTTATTCTGCACTTTTGTTATGTTCTCACTTAACAGTGTGTTTTGGAGGTCACTCCAGATCAGCACGCAGAGCCCCGTGTCTCTGAAGCTGTGCAGTGAAGAAGCTCACGGCCAGGCTGGTGGGATGGGTGTGGGTTAGCCTTCACGGACAGAACACCTGCAGTTTCCCAGGCCTTGGTAAATGTAACCCATGCTGCAAGGAGCGACTCTGGGCATTTGATTCGTGCTAACCCAGTGTTCCTTCCCGACCCTCTGAGTCTTTCAGGACGAAGTGGACTTGCCGTGGGTCCCCCTCTGCTGACCTCTTGTCTTTGGCCAAGACCTTTGACCTTGCTGTGGCCTCTTCCACCTGAGTCTGAATTTACATAAGTTTTTTTTGCATAAGTTATCTAGTAGGATATGTTTTTGGTTTTCCTCCACAGATACCTTCTATCCATTCAACAATTTCTTTTTTCCTTTTAGAGCATAATAGCTTTAGTTAGAACCAGCAATTTCAAATAATTTTAATAATTCCAAACAATTTCACTAATCTCAATAGCTGGTCCTTTTTGACAGTGAGCCGGGCACTTGACTAGACATTTTATGTCTTATATTTCACTTAATTTTTTTTAACAATCCTCTCAGTGAGGAACTAATTCACTAATAAGAAAACAGTCTCAGAGAGGTTAAGCAACCGGTCCAAGGTCACACAGCTGGTAAACAGCAGAGTTGGGACCCTAGCCCAACTCCGCCAGACCCCACAGCTGTCTCATCTGCTGGAACTCAGAGTGAAGGGCTGGTGGAAATTTGGGGCAAGTCAGTGAGGGTCAGTGAAAGAGTCTCTTTTTAAAAATCTGGTTCAAACACGAAGGTTTGTGTTTTCCTGCAGCTTCCGGGAGGATTTCCATTATAACGACACTGAAGGGTGCTTCATTGTCGGAGGGAGCAGGTATGTGCCCGGCATCGCAGGGTTTTTCGGACCCCTGAAATACTATCGCCTCCGCACGCTGCACCCTGCACAGGTGAGCCCAGGGGATGGAGATGAAGTTTGCGGGTGCTCATGGGCTTGTGGCTCATGGGGCCCGGAACCCCGTGTAAACAAAAGATTTATTTAAGCTGTATCTCTCATCAGCTCTGTCCTCAAACATTATTAATATTGAGTCTTTCCCCCTAGCTAACACGATAATAGATTTCTGTTAACGTTTGGTTCATTTAGTACTCAGAAAATGGAAACCATTTACTTCCTCTGTTTTAATAACCACTGGCTTAATTATAGAGTAGGTTTTTATCAGGCTGTTGCCTATCCAGTGATTAAGCTAATGAAAGGACAGAGTCCTAGTTGTTTGGTAAAGCTTCTTCTATACGCTGTTATTTAAAGTAGCAGAGGAGCCGCTCCAGCCGATGAGACTCTTGGTTCTTTCCACGGCTCCCTTCAGAAACACGGGCCCCACTCACACTTGGGCGGTTGGTCTAGAGGTCTTTGTATTCGGAACTGCATGTGCCGTTGGATGGTCTCACCTCCAAAGCCCACCTAGAGGTGCAGCGCTGCCCCCCGAAGGGGCCTTCACAGCGGCTGTGTCTTCTGCCTGGGTAAGGAGATTCCTTAACAAAGAGCCGTCTTCAATTCCTGTGACCCCGTGGGGGTTGTTCTGGGAAAAGCAGGAGTCACAAGACAAAGCCATGGAGGAAAAATGGGAATCCCTACCACCCGTGGGTGCACCTTAGAACCCCTATTGAGAGACCTGCTACTTACTGAGCACCTACATACCCTTGCTATGTGCAGTGTACTCTGATAGTCTGTGTTCCACTTTACAAACAAAATCACTGCTTGTTACGACCCACTGAAATGATTTCATGACCCTGTCAATGGGACACAATCTGCATTTTGAAAACCACTGAGTTGAGGTAAGGCCTCTGTTCTGTGAAAGAGCTTCCTAATCTCTCTTAGGCAGATAAGTCATGAAAGAACGTGGTACCTGCATTACGTCAGATGGGAGCACAGTGTTCCGGAGCACTGACCTGGGAACATAGGCCAACAGGACAGGGTGGGCTTCAGCGTTAGGGAAGCCGCCCTGAAGCGATGACCTAGAATCTGGCCCTTGGGGGTTGAGTAGGAGCCTGCCAAGCAGGAGAAAAGGGGGGGCCTTGTCTCTGAGAAATTCCGACCTTTAAGAAGCTCTGCAGAGGAGAAGATGGCTCAAAAAGAAGCAAGAAGGAAGTGGCCAGAGCCGGCATGCCCTTGGATGACACCCTCCCTTTGCAAACCCGGATCGGATGGTCCGAGAGCAAACTAGCCAGCTGGGGGGGTCAGCAGAAGGACGTCAACGCCTGACAGCCTTCCTGGTGCCGAAGGGGAATGCATGACAATACCTGCTCATTCGATTTTCTTGCCTTCTTGTAGATTTTTAACCCGCTCCTTGAGAAGCAACTTGCTGAACAAATCAAGCTCTATTATGAACGGTGTGCAGAGGTTCAAGAAATAGTGTCTGTGTACACATCCACAGTACAGGAAGGGGCCGGGAGCCAAGACACGTGTAAGTACTGAGCTTCAGGAGAGCAGTCTCGAGCTCTGTGTGTTTGTTTGTGTCAACATGTGTGGTTGCTTTCTGATGGGGGTGAAGGAGGACATCTGTGACTGGATCGGTGGGGAGAAGTATGACCTCCACAGGGGGGTGCAAGTGAAAGTGTGCCTTCCACCTGGATTCCAACAAGACCCGCAGCCGACGGCAGCCCAACCGGCCTCATCGCTTTAAGCAGACGTGATTCAGTTTAAGAATATAAATGAGAGTGTCGCGAGCCTCGCGTTTCGTAATTCCCATTCATAATGGGATCTTAGGCCAACCTAAGAAAATAAAATGAATTGGAAAATAAATTAATCATTAGAAATGTTTCCCCATCGGTGCACTTTTGTCTTGGACCATTAATATCTGAATATTAGCTTTCAGAAATGTTGAACAATGACTTTGTTGTTCGGGGCTTGGTTTTATTTTTTAAATCCTTGAAGTCGACTCATTGGGGAAGAAGACGTTGGTAATTTGCAACAGAAGGAAGGAATTTCAAAGAGCCTGCTTTCGTGCCTGCTCCTATTTGCACAGACATCTTCTCACTCCCGTGGGGTGTTTATCTGTTGCGAAACTCGGTCTTGTCTTCCACTGTTCCAGTCTGGATCTGGCACTTACCAGTGTCTCTGTGCTGTGGACCTTCTTGCCTGATAGGGTGGCAGTAGAGTTAGTCACATATGTTTCTTCTGAAACAGAAGTTCCTGTGGGGCCTTTGCCATCAGCAAAAGCAAATTGAGTATTTCAGTCCTGCCCACATATCTCGCCATCTCCAGAGCTGAACTTCCTGTTCCAGGCCACGGAAGACTGAATGGATGCGTCTCGAACATACCCCAGTCCGATGGGGTTTGCGTAAAAACCGTCCCAGGGAGTGATTAGAGGTGGTGATAGGTAAATGTGGAAAGGCAGCGCTCCTGCAATTCAATTTAAGAATAGGCTGTACTGGTCCCCGGTTGCTGCTCTCACCGCTGAGTCATCCAGAAAATACGGTGCTGTCAGAAAGGGGGAAGATATATAGGAATAGTAATATCCTGAACAGGAAAGAAACTGATTTCGATAACTGATGAAATTTTAGGAGAGATAGCCTGAGTTGCAAGCCCAGCCCTGCATGCCGATCTGCTTGGAGGCCTTGGGGAGGTTTTTCTAGCATCGACTGCCTGGCCTCCCTGGGGGTCTTCGGGCTTTGCTCCTTAGCTCACACTGCCAACAAAATGGCCTAGATACCGGCCTCCTGGGGGCCCGTCCGAGGCCAGCTGCTCATTCTGCAGAATTATTCAACAGCCATCAGCAACTTTGGCACATTTCCCTTGGACATGGCTTTAAATATGTGACCTCAAGGCAAAAGCATCTCACCAATTTCAGATCCCTAATGCACCCCAACCCGGAGCCAGTAACGTCACATCTGACCCCTTATTTCTAGTTTCGTTTAGGGTGAAGGGGTGGAGAGAGATGAGACTTACGCTTCCCTCTCCTGCAGGTGACCTGCAGAACTCCTACCTAGACCTGAGGCGCAGGTACGGGAGACCCTCGGCGTGCAGAGCCTTCCCCTGGGAACAGACGCGGAGAGCCCAGCACGCCAGCTTGTTCCAGGCCCTGCTGGAGACAGGTCTGTGGACGGGTAGTGGTGTCTTTGCCTTGCGTTTGGACGCCGGTTGGGAAGGCTCCCTGTTTTCCCACCGTTTCACTCGCCCTCTCTGGTGATTTATGCCTCCAAGTTATTTTTAACCCTAGTCTTCTAGCTTAACTTTAAATTTAAATTCTGCCTTGTCCACAGCCCTCAATATATCTATGCACATTTCCAACACTGAATACAAAAACTTATATTTAGGAATTGCTTGAGCAATTCTTTTTCTTTTGAAGTTAAATTTTTTTAGTCCTCACCCAAGGACATTTTTTCATCGCTTTTAGAGAGAGAGGAAGGGAGAGAGAGAAATATTGATGTGAGAGAGAAGCATCGATTGGTACTGGGGATGGCACACACCCAGACCGGGGATTGTTCGTGCCTGGACTGGGGATCAAACTTAACAACCTTTTGGAGACTGGATGACGCTCCATCCAACTGAGCGACACTGGCCAGGGCTCGAGCAATTCCTTGTTTAAAGCCGAGGTCACAACTGGACAGCCTACAGCCAGAGCTGGCCCCCAGATGTGATTGGTTTAACACACACATTGTTGTCAACTTAAAAAAAAAATAGTTACCAGATTTAAAAACCTTGTGTAACAATGCAAATTTTTAGCTCTTCTCCAAAAAATTGCAAAGACCTGGCCACCTGGCCGACATGGCAGCAGTCCTGGAGGTGTGTCCTTGGCACCGGCCTGTGGGGCTGTCCACGGCCTCTCGGTATTTCAGCACCACCTGCCTACCTCTTTCACGGGTCTTACTGGCCTGGCCCATAGGCACTTGAACTTGAGACCTTGGTTTAAAGTACACTTTATGTTAGCATCTTGAGAATCTTCCCACATGCAGCCAGCTTCTCCCATCGCGATTTGGCTTTGCTCGGTAATTAGTACCCCCTGTAAAGCCACGAGGTTGCTCAGAACCACATCTGTTAAGAGGAGGGAAGCTGGAGATGTTCAGCCTGGGGAAGGGGATGCAGAGATGGGGTGAAGGTAACTATCTTAGTGGCCTGAGGCAACCCGTGCTGTTCCCGTTACACAGCATTGCAGAAACTGACTTCTTCCGGTCAGAACTTGCTAACAATGGCAGTGTTCAATGGGATAGATTTCCACGGCAGAGAGTGACCCCCCTCCCCTCTCCGGAAAGCATTCAGTCGATACAGGATGTTTCACCTTCCGTTCATTTGATACTTGCTGAGCAGCCGCTTAGTTACTTGGCGAGAGCTCAGAGGTAGGTAAGCCAACGCAAGGTCCCTGCCCTTGAGGGACAAACTTGAAAGCAAAGAAAAAAGGTCATGCTGTTGAAGAAAGGCTGTGGAAAGACATGGTCAAAGGAGGGAATGGTCAGTTTGACCTGAAGGGCTTGGATGTTCAGAGAAGGCTTCCTGGAGGAGGTGGCGCTGGGACCGATTCTTGAATGGTCAGTAGGCGTTTAGCAGATGAGTAAGGTGGGGGTGGGCATTGCACACAGAGCAGCTGCAGAGAGGTGGGGGCAGCACAGCAGTTTCGATGAGGTGCAGGGGGGTCGGGGGGCAGGAGAAGGCCTGGAGAGCTCAGACACCGTCCTGAGGAGTTTGTGCTTCTTTGTAGGTGACAAGGACCAGTGGAAGGGTTTCCAGCAGCAGGTAGAGGTGGGACCAGCTCTGGGATTTTGAGGTCACTCTGATCGTTGGGGGAAGTAGGGGAGCTGGAAGCAGGGGGACCTTCGCAATGGCCCAGGGGGAGAAGACACAGGCCCGAGAGGGACAGACCGACAGAGTTAATAAGGGCTGTAACGAGGACGGCCCTGAAGGACCCCTTCGGAGTCGGGCAGGGAAGGCTGTGCAGGGTCACGTGACAGCACCGCCTCCGGGCCCAGCTGGTCTGGCTCTGGATTCTAACTTCGGGCTTCACACTAGCTGTGTGATCTGGGGCAAGTAGCTTTATTTCTCTGAGCCTCAGTTTCCTCATCTGCATCATGAGGTGACAGTGGTACCTCTCTCAGAACAGTCTAACAACACATGCTAAGCTCTTTGTAAGCCGTGTTTCTTACCCTTGGCTCTATTGACACTTTGTTCTGGACTATTCTTGTTGTGTGGGTCTGTCCTGCACATTGTGGGGTGTTTGGCCGAGCTTCTGGCCTCTACCCACTACCTATCAGTAGCCCTCCCTCCCACGACTCCCTTCTCGAGCTGTGACGACCAAAAATGTCCTCTGACATCGCCAGATCACCCCTGGTTGAGAACCGCTGCCATGTAAGCATTAGAGATACTACAGCGGGGCAGAGACAGTTACCGGGTTTCATTGGTCGTCTGGGAGGGGGTGGGGCTGCCCTGCCAGACAGGCGAACAGGGGAGGGAGGGCCGTGCTGGGTAATGCAGGCAAAATGGGCTTTATGTGATTTCTGATCGTATTTAAATGTGGTTTTGCTGATGGGGAACACAAGTGAATCATTTTCACGCTTCTTTTCTAAGTAAATACTCTCAATGGAATGTTTTCATGTTCTTTTTCCAACTCAGAAGTTTTGTCTATAAGAATTTATAATCATTTTTCTTTTCCGTGAAAATCTGGAAATGAAATTTAATTAAAAACCCAAATCATGAGCTCCCAGTCCCCGAGATTTCCTGGGCTGTGGTGTGGCAACACTGCCCCACCACGGGCCGACCACGAACACTGTGACCCCGGGCCCCCTGCACTCTGCCTTCCACCCCGTTTTTCTGGGTTACGCCGTCCTGTCCATGAGGACTGGGGCGGCCTCTGCAGAGGTGGGGCCCAGAGACCTCATTAAAATTCATCTCTGCCTGGCAGACTGCCCTCGCCCGAGGCTGTCCCAGCATCCTCCTGCTGACCCTGGCGAGGTGGGCGTTAGACACTGGGCCCATTTTCCAACAAGGCTGAGAGAAATGCAGAAAATTTGATTTCGTAAATTGAGGGTAAAAAATGAGTGCATATTTTGTAACACGTCTTTCCTCTGATCTATAAAAAGAATTGTAGTGAGACTGGTGTGACGATGTATCCGTTCCTGGTTTCTCACGTACCCTTCCTCCCAAGTTCAGCTTGCTCTGTCTGGCCGGCTCTGGAGCGCTTTGAACGACTGGTTCATGAACTGTGTGTGCCTTGTTTCCTGCTGCCCTGGGCTGACCGCTCCGTTGGCTGGGGGGGCTTTTGATTAAGTTCATCCTTCTCGTATTCCCGTTTTCATATCTGAGATAAGCTATGAGAATGGATGCGAGCGTCAGATGTTTGAGGCTTGGAATTCTTGCCGTGGGAACCCAGTAGGTGCTGTCCCCAAGGTAAGGAACTGGACCGTGTGCGGAACTTCTCAAGTCCCTCACATGACAACTGTCCACACATTCGTTCGCTAAACAAGTCTTGACTGGGTGCCGTCTGCGAGCCAGGACAGAACAGCCGTGGGACCATTCAGGTGACTAGAGAGAAAATACCAACTCCCTTCATTTGTACAAAGGAATTACTGTGTGGAGTTGTCTTTTCCTGGCATTTTGAGAAGGAGAAAAAGAAGACAGCGTGAGACAGTGGCTTGTGATTCCGAGTTCTCTGCGGCAGCGTCATCTTTTTCCTTGGCAGCCTCTCCTCGGCGAGCCGGCCACTTCCCAGGCCACCACGCACGCTCGTTTCGGGCTGGAGAGTGTGTTCTCCCCGCACGGTGCGATTTGTGCCGGATCATCTGCTCTCACTCTGAGCCAGCAGCACACTTCAAAGGGGCCGTGGGCACATTTCGGGGGGTGGAGAGTAGGAAGCGTGGGCTTCGTCAGCAACTAGCAGAGTGTGACGAAGTGTCCTCTATACTCTGGCCAAGGGAAGTCAGGAGTGGTCCCCACCTTCCCGTGTCCCCAAAGGTGGGGCTGTACTTTCTCCTCCAAGAATCACCGAGTATTTATACGCCCTCACTCTCTAAGGACTGTAATTAAAAATATATACACAGTTTCTGTGGGAAAGTACTAACAACATGAAATTCCCCATTATGGCCATTTTTAAGGGTTCTTTTTGGTCGTGTCAAGGACATTCACGTTGTTGCTTTAACAGCTCTCTAGAACTTTCTCATCTTGTAAAACTGAAACTCTGTACCCACTAAACAACTACTTCCCATCGCCCTTAGTAGAATAGTAACCACTATTCTACGTTCTGTCTCTATGAACTAGACCGTTCTAGAGCCTCATATGAGGGGAGTCACACAGTATTTGGTGCTTAGCATGAAGCCCTCAGGGTTCAACATGTTGAGCATGTGTCGGGACCGTCTTCCTTTTTAAGACTGAACCATATTTCATTGTGTGTAAACCACAGTGGTGTAGCCATTCATCCTTGATGGACGGCTGGGCTGCCTCCACCTCCGGGCTGTTGTGAGCAGTGCTGTTGTGAGTGTGAGTGTGCAAATCTCGTCAAGACTCGGCATTCAGGTTTTTTCAATATATACTCAGAGGTGGGATTGCTGGATTTTGTGATAATTCTACCTTGAATTTTTAAAGTATATTTTATTAATAATGGTATTACAGTTGTCTCATTTTTTTCTCCCCTTTCTCCCCCTCTGCCCTGTCTGTCCCCTCCCTCCAGCACCCCCCCGCCCCCATTTAGTGCACGTCCGTGGGTTGTACATGTAAGTTCTTTGGCTTCTCCATTTTCTATACTATTCTTCACCTCCCCCTGTCTTGTTTTGTTCCTACCAATTATGCTTCTTATTCCCTGTGCCTTTTCCCTTATTCTGTCCCCTACCCCTCCACTCTGATCACCCTCCTCCATATGACCTCCATTTCTGTGATTCTGTTCCTGTCTAGTTGTTTGTTTAGTGTTTTCATTTTTGTTTTTGGTTTAGGTTCAGTTGTTGATAGTTGTGAGTTTGTTGTCATCTTACTGTTCATATTTTGTATCTTCTTTTTCTTAGATTAACATTTCATATAATAAGGGCTTGGTGATGATGAACTCCTTGAACTTGACCTCATCTGGGAAGCACTTTATCTGCCCTTCCATTCTAAATGATAGCTTTGCTGGGTAGAG